GCAAGTTCAAACTAGACAAAAGCCAAGCATAGACGGAGGAAATGGGTAAGATGCTCCAACCTTAGCTGAGAAACTATTGGTAACTGATGACTACTGGGAGAGGAAGAGTTGGTTTTCTTTAAGATAGTGTTACTAGATAGGTTGACCAGGCTCCAGTGGGTAGATTCATACAGAGAGACATTTGGGGAAAGAAACTTGGCTTGATAGTCCTTAACTTACATGATAGAATGCATGAAAATGGTGGGGGGGCCCTATGGGAGGGTATAAATAAAGGAGGGGTCTAAATATGATCAAGATGTATAAAATTTGCAAAAATCAATAAAAAATTTCTAATTGCTCATTTCTGGCATTTCCTACTTAATACTTTTGGCCTGTGGGTGACTGTGGGTGGCTGAAACCTTGGGAAGTAAAACTATGGCTAAGGAAGGACTACTCCATTCTTCCTCATGCACAAAATTCCTACAAAACTACACTTCCATTTCTCTCTTTCTGGCCTTTGTGCAAATGTCAAAACTAAATGGCTGTATTACTTTCCTATGGCAAGTCTGTATAAGTTTCCGATTGCTGCTATAACAAATGACTATAATTCTAGTTCCAACAATATAACTGTCTGATAGTTCTAGAGGCCAGAAGTCTTAAATCCTTCTCACTGGGCTAAAGTCAAGCTGTCTGCAAGGCTACTTCCTTCCAAAGGCTGTGCAGTATCCTGGCCTCTTCTAGCTATCAGAAGCTTCTTCCTGGTCTCATGGCCCACTCTCTGTGTCATTCCAGCCTCCTGTTCCTTCTGTCACTCTATCACTCTCTACTTCCCTCTTATGGAGGATCCTTTTGAGCCCATTAGGCTGGCACAGATAATCCAGGACAAACACCTCATCTGAAGATGACTTAATCACAACTGTGAAGTTACTTTCGCCACATAAACTCTCACATGTTCTGGGAATTAGGACATGGAGATTCACCTGCCACAAGAACATTCTTGTTGTTTTTGAGTTACTACCTCTAGGGTCTTCATTCCTTTGTATAGATCCAGATTTCTATCTACTATCATCTCCTTTCTGCTGAAAGACTTAATATTTCTCATAGTGCAGGTCAGCTCATGATGATCTTTAAGCTTCGCTATAGTAGAAAAACTATTTCACAATTACTTTTGAAATATTTTTGCAAGGTATAGAATTTTACACTAACTGGCCTCTTTTGATACTTTAAGAAAAACTTTATATTATATGCTTGCATTGTTTCTAATGAGAAATTCAATGTAATTTTAATCTTTATCTGTACACATCTTTAATCCTCTGGCTTTAAGATTTTCTTGCTGTGTGGTTTGAATGAGAAGTGTCCTCCATAGGCTCAAATATTTGAACATTTGGTCAGTTGGTGGTACTGCTTGGGAGGAATCATGGAACCTTTAGGGGATATGTTCTTGCTGGAGGAAACAGTCACTGGGCGGGCTTTGAGAGTTCACAGCCTATTCTACTTCCAGTTTCCTCTCCCCCACTTCCTGTTTGCTGGGGATGTGAGGTCTCAGGTTTCTGCCTCAGCCACCTCTGCTGCCATGCTATGATGGACTCTTATCTTCTGGAACCATAAATCAGATATTTTATCACTGCAACAGAAAAGTAGCTAATATACTCTCTATTATTACTTTTATTTTTTAAATATTATTTTGTGTGTGTGTGTTTGTGCTTAGGTCAGAGGACAACTTGCAGAAGTTGGTTCTTTTCTTCCACCATGTGGTTCATGGGGATCAAATTCAGGTTTTAAGGCTTGACAGCAAGTGCCTTTACCCACTGAGCTCTCTCTCTAGCACCTATCGCTACAGCTGGGTAGGTTTTTTTTCTCATACATGCATTGTACTAAGCTGAGTGGTCAATGGGGGACCCTTCTGCGGGTCTCCCAAGTTCTCTGTGTAGTTGTTTGAATGTAAATCATCTCCCTTAGGCTTAGCGTTTGAACACTTGATCCCTAGCTGGTGGCACTGTTTTGGAAGACTGTAGGACCTTTGGAATATGTGCTCTAGCTAGCAGAAGTAGGCTGCTGGGGGCTGGCTTTGAGGGTTGCATCCACCTCTAATAGAACCTGAGCACCCTGCTTCCTGATCCATTGGATCCAATGATCCAAAAGATCCATTGAGGATCTACAGCCTCATGTTCCTGCTGTCGTGATGGAGCTGCTCCATTGGTTGTTTCTGTTTGGTCTTTTGTCACAGCCATGAGAAAAGTAATGAATGCAACAGTTCTTTCTTCTGTGAGTGCCACAGACTCAGAACTGCCTTGGGAACTCTAGCTGCCATGGGGCCCTGTATAACCAGTTTCCAGGTTTCTTCAGGTCTCCTTCCCTGTGCTGGAGCTAGAGGCAGTCCAGGCAGTGAGTAGGCAGAGCCCCAGGGCTTCTGCACTTATTTCACCTCTCAATCATCACAGGCCTTTGTGGCCTCCAGTCCAATGTCTTGAAAGCTCATTGTTTCATATATTTTGCTTTTAATTATTTCAGATAGTAGAGGAAACAGCCAGTTAAAAGACAGTAAGTATCTGGAAGCAAGGCTTCCTTCAGGTTCTGGAGTGTGGGTGTGGCAAGGGTGGTGGGGGACGGTGACAAGACTTCACTCTCAAATAGATTGGTTATGACCCAACTCACTGAGAAGGTAACATTTGAAAAGTAAAACACAAGACTCAACACATATGACGGCTTGAGTTAAGCAGATAACCAAGAAACGAGCTGTTGGGCAGAGGAGAGAGCTTTGTACAGGAACTCCTGTCCTTGCCTTGAGTCACCTGATGGGCCCAAAGGAGAGCAGGGAGACCAGGCAAGGAGAACAGAGGATGTAAATGGAGACTGCAGGATGGGGGCAGGCAGCAGGGAATGGGCCCCAGCAGCACTGAGATCCTATTCCAGGAAGGAGAAAGGACAGACAGCAGATGCAGAGTTCTGAAGACTGGATGTCATCAGAGCATAGACCTCTGAAGACAGGGAACTAGCAGACTGAGGGCACAGCAAGCTGCAGTCCAGAACTGTGGTGTTATTCTGGTATCCATGTCTAAGGGAGAGATGACCAGGCCCAGGGCACCATACCACAAGTTCCCAGCTCTCCAGGCACCACAGGGCACACATTCTGTGATGTGAACAGTCAGTATCACCTCACTGCCAGAATCCCCTGAAGGAAGCATCATGAGCCTTGGGAGGGGACAATGACCAGTGGCTCCTTGTGGCTAGCAGTCACCAAAGTGCTACTAGGTCATTTCTCTCCCCTCCTACACATACATAGTCACTTTTTCTAGTGAATGGAGCTGGAAGACAGCAATTTCCTTTGATCTATTTACTGGTGACACTGTCAAACAAAAGCTAGCCTGAACCATGAAATGTAGCTGCTGGTAACCAGAAGGAATTCTTCAGAACCTACAAACGGGCCATTTTCAGCATGCTTACTTTAATTTTGAACTTCTAGGGAGAAGGGAGCTTATTTTAAAGCAGAACTAACCTTACCTCTAATTGTCCTCTGTGGAAAAAAAGGATGCTAACATAAGTAAGAGAATCCCAGGTAGCCTTTCTCTCCTTGGGGCTTGTCTTTAAATGATGCCATCTTTCCTTGGCTCTGCCAGTAAGGGGCACATTGGGTTTCCCTTCCTGCCCTTCCCTTTCTGACTAGGTGGCTGTGGCCATCTAACTTCCCCAGCCCTCTGATTCCTCACCTATTAAAACAAGTTCAAAGTTCTTGCCTAGAGGGAGGCAGTCAGGGTTTCATGTGCTAGTACAAGAGTCTAGCCAGGGAAACTGTACATATGTGTTCCTCTTTCTGTGCCTCCTCCCCAAGGGTGTGCAGTTGCCTGGCTCCTGGACAGGAAAACGACTTTAGCTCTGTCTAGATGTCACCTCTCTCAATCCTATGCAGCCAGGGCAGCTCTTCTGGTTTGTTTCACCTCGTCAGATCTGGGTTGAACTCCCCAGGGGCAAAGTGATCATTATGTCCCTGTCTCTGCTGGGCATTTTCTCCTTCACCAACCAGGGGCCTGGAGCTTTTCTGTTCTTTCTGAGTCCCCAGAAATCTCCCAAGGGTCTCACCTATGTGGTTTCCTACTAGCCTCACACTGTCTTCCTTCATAACACCAAGGGCCCCTGAAACTTGTCCTCTCCTGAAGCTTCTATGTCATCAATCCACTCTAGGGAGTGGAGGCTGGGTATAAGCAAACAGGATGTTCTCAGCTGGCACATGGATACAGTCTTAAACTTGAAGCCATGTAGTAGCTAATGGTGAGCATTAGGCACCATACCAGTCGCTGGGGATAATGGAGTCCTGGGACTGAACACACTGGCCAGGCTTAGAGGGGCCCTTGCTGGCAGAGAAGATTCAAGACCATACTCTGGACTGGTGTTCTTGAGAGAACCAGCTCACAGGCAACATTGGCCTTGTTGTGAGGTGCTGCTGTTCTCTGTACCTGCTAAATGGCAGACAGTATTTAACCTAGAGATGTTGCCCCAATGTCCTGAACCCATTCGCTGGAAGCACTCAGGAGGTACTATGGCATCTATGGGGGTTCAGGTACCTCAGGATCTTGCGGCTTTCTGGAGATAGCCTCTGTGTAGTTGTCAGCTTTAGAGTTGGGCCTGCCAACTAGTTCCTGCACTAGAAGGCTAGTCAATCTACAACACATCTTTCCTGAGACTAGAGGCTAATCCTGTGCCCAGGGCTTCAACGAATATACCCCACATCAGGCTACTAGTGTCAGTAGCCCCAAAGTATCCTCTGCAGAATATGTGCAGGACGGTGTGTGAATAGATAAGAATAGATGCTTGTAAAGCATGTGTGGGCTGTCTGAATGCTGGGTTATCTGAGGCACACCTCTGAAAGTGCCTGTGAAGATGCACAGGAACATCTGTACATGTGATCATGTGTATGAATATGCATATGGGTATGTGCATGTGTTAAGTGAGATGACCTCCAGTAGACGCCAAACCAGCAGAGAGAGGGCCAGGCTTGTGCTGTCTGCCCTCCCCTGGTTGCTTACCTCCATGTTTCTGCAGAAGGTGGCATTGGTGCCAAACAGAATCTGGCACTGCTCATTGGCGCTATAGTGCATGCCTGGCAGCTTGTGTGGGAGGCGCACGGCGTGCTGGCTCCTGGGGTCTGTGATCAGTAAACAGGTGCTGACTTTCGATCTGAAAAAGCCAAGAGGCAGATCAACCTGAAAATTACTAGGCCCTGTCTTTGTTCTGATTTTTCAGTCCTTGAGAAGGGTGCACCTTGGGTGACTCAGGGGACAAAGACTTCAGTATTGGTCACCCAGATTATAACTCCCCATTTTTGGTATGTTCTGTTACCACACGGCTAAAAGTGGATCTTGGCTCTGAAGGCAACAAGAAACTGACCACTCAGTAGGGTCCTAGGAACAGCTCCAATACTGGAAATACACTTTAATTGGGGAGTTTGATGAAAACACTTTTGAAACAGAGTTCTATGACATTGCCTTAGAATATGGCTTTGGGCAAAAGTTCCCACAAACATAGAGAAAGCACAAGTTAGGGTTGTTTTAAGTATAATCAAAGTACTTTTTTCCAGTGCTACAGAGTCTCTTTGACGGCTTGGTGGGTCAAAGCAGGTGTGCCAGACTTAGTGAACCACTTTACCAAACTTCCTGTCATTTCAGAAGGTGACTCATTCTGCAGAGGACTTCTGGATTTCAATCAGACAGGGAACGTTCACTTAGAATGGGAGGTACATTTCACCAATGTGGGCCTTGTTAGGAGATAAATGCTTAATGCTTTTATTTTTCTATCCTTAAAGCAAGACAAATGAAACCCAGACACTTGCCAATATTCTTAAAGAAAAAGAGTTTCATGCATGCATGTACACCCAGGCTCAGACACGAGCCATTTGTCACCAGCGTGTACCTGAGAAAATGCATAGTGCCCTGTCTTGTTGCTGTGAACCTTCTGGGTGATGTGAAATAATTAAAATGACTTATAGTATTTTATTAGAATCTCTGATTACAAATACTCAGCAGAAGTAGACTATCTTAAAAGCAATGAGCTCATTTTTAATCCTGTTTAATAAACAATTTTCTCCTCCCCAGGAAGCATGAGCAAAAACCCCAGAAGACGCCTTTACCACTTCAGCCCACATTGCCCCGGTACTGTAAGGTGGGGCTGGACTGTCAAACTCCACCCACAGGTGAGACTCACTGCTTCACTTCTGTCTCTACTTTGTACAGATCAACATGACTAAGTAGAAAAGTGATTAGGGTTCATATATCAACACTGTAAACATAGCCCTAAGATCTGACACTAAGGGACCAGCAGGGTCCATGAGTATGCTTGGTGTAACGAGAGTCTTGAAATCAGATGGGCAACTGTTCTACAGAAATCTGAGAACTAAATGGTGTGGACATCCTCCAACAAGAAAGTGCTAGTAAGAAAAACACACCCCTTCCCCAAACAAGAGGGACATCAGCAAACCTATCTCTAGCAAGTTCACTGCCATCAGAGGAAGCAGGGCGAGCAAGCAGCAGGTTCTCGGCTTCAGAGCTACCAAGGGCATCCTTCCAGCTGTACACAATAATGGCCACAGATTGGCAGAGAGATGCAAGACAGGGCCACTGGATATTTCAATCAAACAATCAATCAATCATTAAATGGTCATCTATGAGATACACAACATACCAGCTGTGCCCTTGGGAGGAAGCCCTTGCCCATTATAGGACACTCTGCATTGACTGCCTCCCAGGCCAGATGAGAATTCATCTAGAGCTTCCCTTCTTCTCACACTTGCTGAGATGACCATCTTTGGTCTTTTGAAAGAACTTTCTGTTGTGTTGACACTACAGAATGACTCAAAGACTTACTTGAGGAAGTTCTCGAGGTCATCTCGACTACATGAGGACCAAGAGAGGTCGCTGGGGTTCCGGCCTTTCACCCACTCTCCTGACATGATGTGTGACCGGCCAGCACAAGAGGAATGGTCATCGTCATGGTTCATCCCCAGGCTGTTCAAAGAGAAGAAGAGAGAGGGATGCTATGCTTACAGGTGTCTCATATCCAGGTCCCAGGTCAAGTGTACTATGCACAGCTTAAAGTAGCAAGAGTGATATAGGGTAATATGGTCACATGGTACAGACCACAGTCAGGAGTTTATGGAGAAGCTGAGGTGAGGTGTTTTTGCTTACAAACTGTATGAAGACTGAGAAAATAGAGTAATAATAGAACAAATGGGATTTTCAAGTATGATAATGACTGATGACACACCAGTTCTAGGGAGGGACATGCTTTCTAAGGTTTGTTTTCTTTAGAAATGAGCTACAGTATGCTAAGGACCAGTGGAAACCATCTAAGACTAAGTTAGTGAATGCCTTGGCTTCGAGTCCTCAAATTCATGAAAATTTCTTTCTTTTTTGTTATTTCATAACTCTTTTCATATTTTTGCCTATTTATTAAATAGTTTCCTCATCCACAGGAAACATGAGAGAAGACTGAGAATGAGGCCCGTGCCACATCATCCCGGTCTCCTGGGTACCATCAAGTACTAGAGTTCTGTTACTTTCCCTGCTGATAGAGGGATACTGGAGGAATGTCTAGGTTTGGGAGTCTGACAATACACTGAACTGAATGAGGAACTTAGTTTATCCTTATGATCACACTGGGGTGAGCTGAGACGCAGATCACACAAGACTGGCTCACTCTCAGCTTGCCAACCATGATTTCTAGGAGAGAAATCCAGTGTGCATGGAGAAGTCCATTTTTTTCCAATTGCAGTGATATAGAAAAAAAAACATTTATTTTTGATTAATTCAAAGATATTTATTAGGGGCTGGAGGATGGCTCAGCATTTAAGAGCACTCACTGCTCTTGCAGAGGACCCAGGTTCGATTCCTAGCACTCACATGACAGCTAATGACCATCCATAACTCCAGTTCCAGGGGAATTCAACTCCCTCTTCTGACCTTCACAGGCATTGCACAACACAGGTGCACTTACACACATGCAGGCAAAACACTCATACACATAAAGTAAAAATAATAAAATAAAATTATTAGATATTTCTCAAGTGCCAGGAAATATGCCAGAAGAAGATTAAATGTGCTAAAGATGTGATCCTTAACCTCAAGCTATGACCAGCCTAGGGAAGAACAATGTAAGCAGGGTTCCAAATGCTTCCCCAGCCCCAGTTCCCTATGTGCCTCTGATGTCTCTTACCATCTCTCAATTCACTTGCTTGCAGTTTCATACTGATATCCTCTGAGAGGTCACCCTCTACATGCCTGGTAGCCATGAATGACTATACTCTTATTTTTTCAGATGCCACCCTGACCCAACCCGAGCCAAAACCACATCCTCCAAAAACACACTATCTGGCACTCAGGCACCCGGGTCTTGGGCTAGCATGGCCATCTCTGATCACCCATACATCTGCTCCCGCCAGTTGAGGAGGGTAGGCTCACCCAGGGTGAAATGTATTTTGACCTGCAGCTGCTAGTGATACCAGTTATGTCAGTTCACACATGGGTTCTGTGGTGGGTTAAGCAATGACATATGATAGCGAAGGCAAAGTTGTTTTCATGAAAGCTCATTTGGCTGGTAGCTAAAGCACATGGCTGCCAAGGGAATGTGAGCAGGAAAATGCTAAGAGGTGAGGAATAAATGGTAAAAATCTGATCCAGACTGCTTTGTAAGTCTTTTACATCGCTTTCTACCCTGCATGCTCTCTCTCTCTCTCTCTCTCTCTCTCTCTCTCTATATATATATATATATGCATACATATGTATATATATATACACTCACCACACACTATATTGCAATATATATATATGTTTTATAAATTTTAACTTAAACTATTTAAAACACCTAAATAGGGGAACTGGAGAGGTGGCTCAGTGGTTAACAGTACTGGCAACTAAACCATCTATAACTCCAGTTTCAGAAGATCTGATACCTTCTTCTGCTATCCGCAGGCACTGCACAACACAGGCACACTTATATACACATGCAGGCAAAAAAACCACTCATGCACATAAAATGATAAAAAAATAAATATTAAAAAAATGAAACACCTAAATACAATTTCTTGGTTTCTCCACTTGAACCAATTTTCTGGTTAACTGGTCAACTGAAAAACTCCTATCAGTGACCAGAAGAGCTGGTGGAGCTTTCTCTCTGTGCTTCTGGCCATCTGTTCTTCAGGGCAGTCTTTACAGAGCTCTGGAAGCTCTCTTCTGTGTTTCCACAGGCTCCTTCCACTTACCAGCTGCCCTCCCCCGAATGGCATCTCCATAGGACTGCTCTGGGTAAATATTTGCCAAATGGATTACATGTTTAATGTGCAAAAACATAATAGAGACCTCACATTTGTGACAGGTGTGTTAATTTAATACAGAGGCAGACAACTTGCAGGATGAAAACTGTCTCTGGCTGGATAGTCTACATCTAGACAGGTATCAGATATCACACATCTATCTTCCTCAGGCCAAAGAACCAGGAAATGCATGGATAAATCTGGACACTGGGAATAATTCAGATATATTTCTTGTGGTCACTTTGCTGAAGAGAGTGAGTCCTATTTTTTTTTTCCAATGCAACTACTCTGCTCTTTAAAATTTTTTTCTTTTGGGTGAGCAATAGAAAGTGTTGATTTATAAGTGGGAAACAATTTCCAGTTAGCTTGAAAATTCTGTTACAATTAAGTTTCATTCGAAAGGGTTTTTTTCTTTTTTGAGGTTTACTTTTAAAAAATTTATTAATTTTAAATAATTTTTTGTGGTATTGGGGCTGAACCCAGGGCCCTGACCATGCTAGGCAGAGAGAGACACATCATCAGCTTTGAGGTTTACTTTTTCAAAATTTTACTTTATTGTAGCAAGACATGTTAATATATCTACCCTCTTAAATTTCCAGGTGTCCAACCCAGTAGTGCTAACTCCAGTTACAAGCCATGCAAAGGCTCTCAGACCTTATTCACCTCCCATAACTGGAACGCATACCCTGTCTCCATTTCTCTCTATATATACTCACAACCATCACTCTATTCTTCCATTCCATAAATCTGACTGCTTTAGGGACCTCATATAAGTAGAATCATGCAGTCTTTTTCCTTCTGTGTCTGGCTTATTTCACTTAGCATAAATGAGAGATTTATTTCTAAAATATATAAACAACCCCTATAAGTCAACAATGAAAAATGAATAACCTGATGTGAAACATGGGCTAAAGACTTGAATTGATGTTTCTCCAAAGACAACATACAAAGCCCAACAGGCTTTGATGATCAATGTCACTAATCATCAGAGAAATGCAAATCACACCACCAGGAGAGAGCACTTCACACCCAACATGACTTGGCAAGCACCTGTGAGGAGGCAGAGCTGGGAACCCCATATGCTGATGGTCAGAATACAAAATAATTCCCTACTATGGAAAAACAGCATAGAAATGCCCCCCAAAATAAACCTAGAGCTACTGAACTAGTATATGATCCAGCAATTTCACTTCTGTATTTTTTTATGTGTATGAGTATATTACCTGCATTATGTAAGTGTACACATATTGTACAATGCCTGTGGAAGTCAGAAGAGGGCATCAGATTCCCCTGGAACTGGAGTTACACATGGTTATTAGCCAGCATGTGGGTGCTGGGAATCAAACCCTGGTCCTCTGCAAGAGCAGCTAGTCCTCTTAACCGCTGAACCATCTCTCCAGCCCCTAGAGATTATATCTTTTACCCCTGGATTTAAAAAAAAAAAATTATGTGTATGGGTGTATTGCCTGCATGTAGGTAAGTGCACCTGTGTCATGCAATGCCCGCAGAGGACAGACGTGGCCATCGGATCCCCTGGAACGGAGTTATGGACAGTTGTTAGCTACCATGTGGGTGCTGGGACTTGAACCTGGGTCTTCTACAAGAACATCCAGTGTTCTTAACCACTGAGACATCTCTCCAGCCCCAACCCCTGGATATATTTTTAAGGTGAAATCAAGATCTCAAAGAGATCTGCACTCCCATGTTCATTTTCATAATGCTGATGACGGCCAACATGTGGAGACTTTCAAAACAATAGAATGTGTTATTTACATATGACAGAATATTACTAAGCCTTTAAGAATGGAAATTCTTCAATATACAACAACATGGATGGGCCCTGGAGTCTCGATGCTAAGGGAAATCAACTTAAGACTTTTTCTACCTGTTTAACCCTCCCTCTCTCTTTCTGCATCTCATTTACTTTTGAAGGAACTAATTAGAGTTTCAAGTACCTTACCAGGGGATGTCAAAAATTGTCTACCTTAAGCCGGGCATAGTGGCACACGCCTGTAGTCCCAGCACTTGGGAGGCAGAGGCAGGTGGATCTCTGTGAGTTCAAGGCCAGCTGGGTCTACATAGTGAGTTCCAGGCCAGCTGGGTCTACAGGGAGACCCTGTTTCAAAAAAGACCAATAAATAAACAAACAAACAAACAAACAAACAAACTACCTTAAATGTAATATAGGTTTTGATACCTTTAAATAAAACTAGTGATGATTTTTAATGGGTAGACATGAAATTTTTTGGTAGATTTCAGCAAATAAAGTACGAGAATAAACTATCTTATGAAAAAAGCAGCTCCAGCTTCTATCTTATAAGGTTTAACTACTGCATGTGACCAGGAAAGGTGCTGTCTCCAGCTTTGACAGGCATAATCCCTGTTTTGCATAGGGAACTTCCATAATGGTCATAACTCACAGGTACCAGAATACTTGTCTGAATCACATGCCAGGTTCCCACCCTTGAACATGGTACTGCCCACCGGGGAGGCAGGTTTGCAGCTTCCTTACAGTGATGATGGAAAACACTTAGGGAGCATGAGCAAAGAAAAGGAACATTTTGCCTCTTGAGGGAATATTAATGCTTTTAGAAGGCCTGGGTTCTGGGATTCTGAGCTGGGACCTGGAAGAAGTCATTTGGTGATTTACACAGGGTTCCATCTGCCCAATTCACTTGTCCTTCATCTCCTCTGTCA